TTATAAAAAATACCCATAAACACTGAAAAAATAATAACATTCTTCAGAATACTCCTGATTCGTAGAACAAACATTACACTTTCTTTCCCTTTACAAATAATGAAAACATATTATAAGACGTATCGGGAAAAGTTAGCTCCTTTCTTTTCGAACGAAGGATTAAAGACGTATGGGCACTAGTGAACATAAAAAAATGATCACCTCAAAGCAAAAAATAGTGAATTTATAACTAGGAAGACTTGCTTGTGTCAGAGGGTAAGTTATTCAGTATATCACATTCCTTATACAATTGTATTAGATTGAGTCAGATCTAGCCTAAATAACATTGCATTCTGTATTGTTTCACAACTCGAGGATCATGCATTTTTCACGTCGTTGAGCTACGGAAAAACAAAACAAAGAGGTTACTGTCTATACTTAACTTTTTACAAAGCATATTGAAACTTCAAGACGAAACGATTACACTACAAACAAGCAGGTTTGCTAATAAAAGACTAAACAGAAAGCCTAACAAGAGTACAAGAATGCCATTTTATAGACTATGGAACGTGCTAGACACATATAAGTAATTCTAAATATTTAACAAAGTTTGGTGGATCCATAGGATTAGAGTCTTTTCGTTATTTTAGTAAGTTAAGAAGGTATTAAAATTATCTAAAAAAGGCCACTTTTTCTTGTTGTGTTTTCTCAAAAACATTCTTAGTTTTGTGTAATAAACTTCAAGCTGTTCGTATTCTTTCAGTGTTTCTAATTAAAAGTTACAATGTATAGCTTAGATAAAATTCGAATATGTATAATAATCCCTGTCGGACATCTATGTAAAGCGTGACTTGTTTGTAGATCTGCCTGTAGTTTATGGATTTGTCTCGATAGTTTGGAAAAAAAAACCTGCGTGCTAGATTGAAAACATCAGAATGCTCAATATTATTACTTTGCATAAATATAATAGGAGGTGTTATAAGCACGGAATCAGCATTTGTTTGTCTGCAACAGTTATTATTGTTTGAAATATCAGATACTTTTCTTTTCAAATAATAAAAACTTCTGATCATTCGTCAAGGAGTAATTTCACATTTCAGTGGTCTATTATTTATATTTTATGTATTAACGGAAAGCCACTTGCTACATCATCATTTCTTCCAGAACTTGGCTGTACACTTCAATTTTAACTGCAAAAAATACTAAACTCATATCATTTTTTTAGAAACATAAGCCTTAGAAATTTTTTAGTAGAGTTAATGATTTGTTTTTTCACAATTAAGCTTTATGTATAGTTTAAATATAAATTTGGATGATGGTAAAATCAACAGAACAGGCCTTCTTAAAAAGACGTACATAAGACCACCCGAGTTTCGTCATTATGAGACGATTGCGAAACATCGTTTAATTAAACTAAATGGAAGAAATGAGGTTGGATGAAAAAGATTGGCTTTGTTGTGAAAACAAAAAAAATCAAGTACGTTACTGTGAAGTACTGGGACTGGACAGGGTTAAATTCGTAATTTGGAAGTTTGGGTTAGTTCGTTTAGATATTCAAGGTAAGCTGCACAAGGGCCACATGCGTTATCCATAATTAATTTTGAAGTCATAGACTAGAAAGAGGTAACTAGTCAATAGAAACCAACGCCAACTCTATGGCTACTCTAATCGAATATCGGGATTTGACTGGCATTCTTATAACCAACCAACAGATCCAAAATCTGGAGCGTAATTTTGCGAAGATGGTACTTGAATATATGGTACATGTATACCAGAACTTTAAAGATTAGGTCACACCCGACTCTATTATCTGAAGCAAGGTTATATTCGTGTTTTTATTTTTCAATCAAAATTTCCATATTTAAAGCCTGGACTAATTGCTAAATATGTTTTCCTACAGATGTAGTAGTATCTTATACTAAAATAATTTTGAATATGCAAATCAACAAGACACATGACAATTAAAATCGACATAAAGTCACGTTGGAGCAAAAATGTACCAATTTTGACATTGTTTGGCATTTTTTTAGGTAGTATGATGCCATTAAAATTTAACGCTTTTCAGTTTGGTATGTACGCAAAATATTCTTACACTATGATCATAAAGATGTATTTATGTCAGGAATTTGAAATTTCCAAGACAGAAATATCCCTTGTACTTAACGACAGAAGCATCGCCAGGTGCTTCAAAGATTCGGGGCTCGAGCCCTGAACTTACAGGAATTTTCGGCGTGTCTGTATGATATCGACTATGTTTTTTTACTCTGATTTTCCAAAAGCACCAAGTGGATTTGGGGCACTGTCAAATAGAATCGAAACACGAATACCGTGTACCAATGTCTAGCGATGCGTTTGCTTAATGACATTGGAGACCCAGGACCATTCCAAAAGATATTTGAAACAAGTGGTAAGCGTGTGTGACGAATTGTAACAAACGAGATTCACGAAAACAAACATCAGTGGCAAAAGCCGTCCACGTGCCCCAGGCAACAATACGCAACATAATTAAGAAAGACTTTGGTCAAGAAAAGCGACACAAATCACGTGCACAAAAGTTTCTTCTGTGATTTTTCTGTTGAACAGTTGAATGCCTTAAGCAGTTGGAGAATGAAACGGGTAATCATGTTATTACAATCGAAGACAAACCGGTGAAGTCACCAAACTCTTGAAACAGGCGCTGGGAAACCGTTGTTTTCCTATGCTAGATGACTCATGGAAAGCTTGTAAGGCGAAGGAGTGTGATTTGAGCACGACAGCCTTACGACGGAGCCTTTTACAATTGAAACTACAATGCACCGCTATTGAGAAGGTGTGTAGTTGTCAGGAAGAGCATGGCCAGACGTAACGACATGGACCGTAACGATATGTTGAGGTTCCAAAGTCGTATTAATAATACGTACGTATGTATCTACTATTTCTGTTAAAAACAACGTGACGTGCATTTGTATTTTCTTCTAAACTATGTTTATTGAGCATTGTAAGGCAGATTGGATTATGGATTACGTCTTGCACAACGTTTTTCATTGATTTATTTTCATGGCTTTATTTTATTTACAAAAGTGAGGTAAATGTTAACATTTTTTTACTCGAAATAAGATGTCTTATAGGTCATTTTTAACAAGTATATCTATGTTTCCTAATAACTAAATTGAATTATTTTACTAATGGATATGCTTCACCCTGGTTAACGAATAATAATCCAAATAGTATTGACCTGGGCTGAAAAACTACATAAATGATTATTTAAAGATCGCATGAATAGGTGAAACAGCTACACCTGTTTTTGCTTACTGGTTCAGTTAAAAAGTACCCGATGTAAGTGTTGTTTGAAATATATTGTGCATCACTTATATTTCGTTTATATAAACTTGATTTGTTTGCAATTTATATTAAATATCCTAACAAGTTTAATTTACAAACTATTTTATTTTACGGGATCGAATAAAAAATTATCTCAGCTTTTTCTCTACGGTATTGTAAAGCTTTGTGCACTGTGTCGATATTATAAAGTAAAATGCAGAAAGAACAATTCTGTTAATAAATATTTTCTCCTTTTGTTCCAAGTTTACGTGTGCCTGCATCACTTTTTCATGCACTCTTTCGTAATCTAATTTATTTATTTTGATTATGTCTGGTATTCGAAAATTGAATTTGATGACGAAGAGCTTAGAAAAAAACATAGGTAAGTGTTTTTAACGTGAAGTCAGCCTAAATATTTTACTTTTAATGAAATATCTACCTTTAAAAATTACACTTAAAACTTCTATAAATTATCGGTGTTACTATAAATTATCACAGTTAAACACAGTAAAAAAACAAAAAAACAACAGAAACAAGGATGGTAGAGGCTCTAAAAAGCTCAATCTTATAGATATTTTTTTAATTTAGATTAACCATGTATTCTTATTATCCCAACGTGTTTATTATGCACCTTCATCAAAAGCCTGTGAAATAAGGTGATAGATATGTTAAGTACGAGGAAAGTATTTTTCAACAACTGTCTGCACAGATGATGATTGGTACGGTAGTTTTAGATGCGGAAACATTAAGGACTAGTTTTAAGTTCTAGTTTCATTTCGCACGCGAGAACTGCGAACAAATGTCAGGTTACATTTGATAGACAGTGCATTCCCAGTTTCTGCAAGCTTCTCTAGGATAAAATTAATTTTTTTAAACGTTACGGTATATACCCTAATTCAACTTATTGGTATTATAAGTGAAACGTTTTCTGATTTCGACCAGAAATGTTAGTAAATAATCCAAATTATGGAGATGCTGTTGACCCTTGTAATACGCTCTCATCTTTAACTTTAGAAGTGAACATACATATATGTCTATATATATATACATACGTTTTTATTCGTATATTTTCAGCAAACTCATTCTCTTATTATTAATTGTCTTCTTTTTTCTGGAAAAGAATACAAAATACTTGAAGGGGTGTTAACCAGTTGTAATGAAACAGCAAACTGAAGGTAAGTATTGTAACCAATAAACTCACAGTTTAGATGTGAAATTCTCTTTTAGAAAAATGTATGTAAAACCCTTTTTATAACTCTTACAAACATAGCATGAAACATATGTGGCGGACATAAGAAACATGAATATAACGTGTCTTTAAATATTGTAACGTAAGTTTTGAGATAAAGATCTAGAAAATAAAACACAGAGAAAACAAGCATTTTTTTGATCGTTCTCTTACTTTACATATAAATCTAAAACACAAATTCTTCAAACACCGTATTATTTGAGAACATTCAAGGAAGATTTTAACTCTCTGCAATATATTACTCTTTTTTATTATTTAAAATAAGTTAAAGACTCCACAAGAAAACGTCATGCTAAATTCTTATGAATTTATATTTTTATTTGTTTTCAGGAATTTTATTTATTTTGTAAATACCTATTTCGTAATGATTAGTATTTTGTGTTGTTCATAGATGGCAATTCGTTATATTATCGAGCGTCAACTAGCGGCAAAAAGGTGTAGTTGGCTCCTTTTGGAGAAGTAAGTTATCGAAGCGCACGTAGTCTAAACAGTCATGTGTTTACGGATAACAAGGCTTTAACCTCTGAACACTTTACATGGATTGGGTAGTGAACAAAAATTAATGTTCAAATGAAGGTAAGACATTTCTCTCTGAAAACTTAGAAACAGTTCTTTAAAAAGTACAGATATTAAGTGATGAACAGAAGTAGTAACGCGAATTAAAAACCGTTGAAAATGTTGCTTGTTTATACATATACAGGTTTGTCTAGGAGATAAGAGTACTTGAGATAATAACACTCTGTGGAATGACTTTATAAAGTAAGAACAATAATGAAACCCTTGGGGGTTTATGTCTATTTCACTGTGATAATTCAATCTGTGGTATGATGTAAGGACTATATGATCAGAAAATGAAGTGTTCATTTATTAGTTTAGCTGTCGGTTGATTTGATAGGAAAAACGTCAACGAATCTTCTCCCAGTAAAATACAACTCACTAAATAACAATAAAACACTCAGGCAGCTTTTAAGTAGCATAAGTTTAACAAATTCGCCAATATTTCTTGATTTTTATACCATTACCAATCTTGCATATACTTGGCCGACTAAATTTTTCGTTAGTAATTTCCAATTCCATTGTCCAATATAATATGATTTCGTCCCTGCTAGAGCACGTAAGGATGTAATTCTAGCACATATCACTTTGTTTTTGAAAGGGTGTAGCTCTTTGAGAGCGTGTTTTATTGCTATCTTCTTTTTGGATATATGTTGAAAGATCAAATAAATACATCCCAAGTTCCTCAAGAAATTACACGCTATATATTGATCTAATATTTTAGTTACAATTTCATCAAGAAGATTCCTTAATTGCAGAAAATTAACTATAGACTTACCTAGTGAACATAGATTAATAATAAGCGAGCTTCTAGTACATAATGTATACGCATGGTGGTGTCGACAAACGCACAAAGATGATGAACTAATATGTACATAATGTTGCATTAAATACAGATAATTTCCGAAGCATTATAGACAATATTTTAATTAAGCAATTTGATCTTCAAAGGCCATTTGCACCGATAACACTTAATTGTATTAAAACGGGTTTCACACAAATTTCATACTATCAAATACTCTCTCATATTAATTAGTTTAAAACAATTCTCCATTCTGTGCAAAACATAATACAAAAACTAATCCAGGGATTAACAGTAATGTATAAAGAATTGAATCTATGCCAATATAGTGTAATACAGGAAATTTTAAAAAACTTTGTGCTCTGCTCAAAATTTCTCCTGTAATGCGTAAAGCAACTGTAGCGTTAGTAAAGACAACGCTTTTTCTCACATTTATGCCCCAAACAAAGGTTTACTACACACAAAAAAATGAGCTCTTGAAACAAACTTCACGTATTAAAGTGCACATTTCTTATTGTTTCTTGCTAGTATGTCTGTTTTTCTTTAATTCTTACTGAATTTGTAATTATAAAGCTTCTTAGAAAATTTCATTTACGGCCTTAAGCTGTTATCTTTTTGTTTATACGATAATATATGTTTCTATATCATAAATATTGAAATAAATCTAAATGACAATTAAGATGAAGACCATATTCTGTCCGATAAATGCATTTAAATTACTTTCTCCATAATGTTTCTTAGTTACTGTTATATTGTAGCAAAAATGGATGATTTTGTAATTTACACTTTAAATTCAGGTCGAGTCACATAGTTTGCACTGATGCTACTCATGTTCTTCGAGTTTTTTGATTTGCACGACTCGTTCAGAACAGTATGATAATGCTAATATTCTAAAAAAAAAGGCAGTTGTTTTTGCATCAGTTCAGATTCAGTGTAATCATTCACGATGGACAAAGAATTAAATTGAATAGTTACTCTCCTTTCAAGCCCTATTGGAATGGAAAACACTTAAATTAAGCCTCAATTTTCAGTTATGTTAAGTTCAAGAAATCCTATATTAAATCTATGGATATCACGTAACCAGCAAAGACATGCAAAATTTAAATAACAATTTCAAAGAAACACGTTTGCTCCAAAACCGCTTTGGATTTTGTTTACCTGTGAAAGTACCGATGAAAGTATGATTTTATATCCTAAAAGGTACTGAAGAAATGTTTAAATACTACTCTTTCATCTACTAGACAGACTTCTTCAAATTCATAGTTCGTTTTTCCTAACGGTTTTTGTGTCGAGTATATTTGAAATGTGACGCTACAGTTACTACATTTTCTATATGGTCATGACTTTTAGCGGCCATATAATGTTTTCTTTGGGTAATGTCCTTAGTTATAAGTACTCAAAAATAACTATGCATTCTGTTTCTTCCAGCACATTTTCTTAAATACATCTATAAAATACTTGTAAAACAAGAGAACGTGTAATTTCGGAAATTACAGTCCTTCATTGTAAGAACTTAAGTTAAAGTAACTATATATGTATTTCTGTTTTCCCAACAAAGCTGTGGAATTGTAATGATTGTTTACTTGTCATTTAGGTAATCCTGGAATCTGAAGAAAAAAAGGAAGAATTTTGTTATGAAAAATACTTTTGACTAAAAAGTGAAGGTTAATTCAGTGCTTCTTGAAACAAAATGATACTGTTAAATGTGATAAGTCTGTTATTTGTTTTATCAATTCTGCCATCTACAATAGCATTCAGAAGTGAGAACATTGTTATTCCGCATGATGCTCAACCAGGTCATATTATTAAAAAATACACTTATAATGGACAAACGTTCAACATACTCGATATCGAGTTGTCAGACACTTTTGTTATTCTTAGAAACGGTATTCTCATGTTAACTTCAGATATTTCTCATAAAGTAGGACACCCATTTTATCTAGTCGTTAAAGAAGAGTACCAAGAATTTACGTTACATGACATCCTTGTAATACACGTGAAACATAAAAAACATATGTTGAGGTTTGACAATGATCTCTACTGGGGAAGAGTGTCAGAGAATCTTCCCTCTGGCACATTGGTCAAAGGTCTGGAAAAATTATTTGCTTTTGGAGGACAAAACAACGAAGTTAAGTACAGCATTGTCTCTGGAAATGATGACAACTCCTTTAGCATCATTCCCTCTTCCCTCAACAGGTCAGTAGTTGTTGCTGTTGTGACTAATCATCCTCTTGATCGAGAACGGCAAGCCATTTACAAGTTATTGTTGCGAGCTGCAGATGAACTGGAGATCGACAGTGCTGAAACAGTTCTCTTCATCAGTGTGTTGGATATGAATGACAACCCTCCAATTCCTGAAAAGTATATCTACAAATATCACGTACCACGAAATACGAAACGCTTTTCTGTCATCGGAACTATCAGAGCCACAGATAAAGATGGAGATCGTCCTATTTATCATTTTCAAACTCGTCATCCAAAACTTACCATAATTCCCCAAACTGGTGAGATTTTACTGACAGGAACACTTGATCAAGAAACTTACAAGTTATTCATAAAAATTCACGATAATCGCAATCCTCGAAAATATAGCCAAAGTATTCCTTTAATCATCACTACATCTAAATCAGATCCATTTATCAGAGCAACGACTTTATTGGACGTAACTGAAAATGACACGCAACATCTAGTGCGGGCAAAACGATCTGTAAGGGCTACGAAAAGTTATGAATACAAGGAAAGTGATGGAAGCATTGTTCATAAAATCATGTTTCAGTTGGAAAAAGAACACCCCAAAGAAGTTTTTGAAGTCGAAAGTCCTAATCGATGGGTACAGGTAGATAAGGCGGGCGTTATCAGAGTGAAAGAACCGTGGAATTATGAACATCTAGGGAAAGAAAAAACTATTGATTTCTGGGTACTTATATCAAAGCCAGGTGCTTCAGGTAGGTTTATTTTTCTCTCTTTTCTTTTATAAATTCATTATTATCAATATATATTTAGATTTAGAAATTATATATCTGACTTTCGAATCTCATAATGTTGATATTATATTATATTTATCGAACTTTGTTTGCGTGAACTCTGGTTGTTGGATTACTGTTTATCTGAATTGTTAGTTTTTTGATGTAGAATTGTTTATTCTTAGAACTAGCCAATTTTTCATTGTCATTTCACGTTTCCAGGTCTCGCTTTAGTCATTATTACATGGAGCATGAAACCCTGCGTGCTCTTGTGGGAATGTCGAAGATGTGTATGAATTAACTCAACAATATTTTCTTTCCAGACATAACTTATTTTCAACTTATATAAATATCCAATAATTTATTTTTCTGATAAAAAACAACAACATTGGAAACACGAATTGCCAAAAAAACAAACAAAAAACAACAACAACAACAATATTTAAACGTATAATGCCGTTCGCTAAAATGGGACAAATTAAAAGAAAAACTGAATTATGCTTTTTTTAAGAACGCATATAAATAGTGCTTAGTTAACTGAATGAGTTTGATTTGAATTTCGTGCAAAGCTACACGAGGGCTATCTACGCTAGCCGTCCCTAATTTAGCAGTGTAAGACTAGAGGGAAGGAAGTTAGTCATCCCCACCCACCGCCAACTCTTGGGCTACTCTTTTAACAACGAATAGTGGGATTGACCGTCACATTCTAACGCCCCCACGGTTGAAAGGGCGAACATGTTTGGTGTGACGGATATTCGAACCCGCGACCCTCAGATTAGGAGTCGAGCTCCCTAACCACCTGGTCATGCCGGTCCGAAAATATGGATACAGGTTTTATGGAACACAATGGAATGACCCCAGTGGTGCAGCGGTATGTCTGCGGACTTACAACGCTAGAAACCGGATTTCGATACCTGTGGTGGGTAGCGTACAGATAGCCCACTGTGTAGCTTTGTGCTTAACTACAAATAAACAAACAAAATGGAGTATTGAGCGATACATATAAATATATTTGTATGTTCAGTTATTCAAACACAAAAACGCTGTGATTTTTTCTTTCATCTTCATGAATGCTGCACCTATTTAGATCCTCACACTTCAGGTTTAACCTTATAGATTTTTATTTGCTGGTTTGGGCGATTAAATTAAATCGAACTGTATGCTAGAGTGAAGTGCTTTTGAAATTTTTGATTTTCTAATGCCTGGCAATTGTAGTTGCTTAATGGTTCTGCCATGAGAAATTGAAAATTGCACTTGTATGGTTCTCTTAAGCCCAAATCATGCAATGTGCAATTTCTAAAGTTTTTTGTTTTTTTTCATTCGATAACTTATAGGATTTAAATTTTTGGTAATTTTCAGAGATTTCTCTGATAATAAAAATAACACAAATACTGTTAAAAATCCATAGTTACTACTTTTTTTTTAGAAACAAATATTATTTTTTTCTGTTTAAAACTTTTTGAGACAATTTGCATTTAAATTGACTCATTTTAATCGAATTTTTCCTAAAATGTTAAAACAAAGTGCAAGATCTTTACGCATTACGTTTTGATTGCTTTATTTCACCTTAAAATATTGATAAAATTAATTACAAAAAAATATTGATAAAATTAGTTACAAAAAAGGTGTTTTCTTGCATCTAAGAAAACGGACGAAAAGTGTATTTATTTTTATGCTACGTTTCCATACCTGGGCCATGTAATATTTCCTTTAATAAGAACTGTGATTATGAGTTTGCCTTTTCCAATTTTTGCAGGAAAAAGTAATAAGTTTATGAACCAATAACCAGAAAGTTAAGGAAACGGTAATGTTTTTCAAACTGTGCAATTTGTTTGTTTGTTTTTAAGCCAAAGCTATTCAATAGGCTATCTGTGCTTTGCCTCCCAGGGGTATCGAAACCCGATTTTTCTCGTCGTAAGCTTACAAGACCTTCCGCTGAGACACCGGGATCACCGTAGTCCGTAAAGGATTAACATTGCTATAATGCACTTATAGACAGTTATAGGTTCAGAAAGTTCTGTTAGTTAGTTTGTCTTGTGAAACTTCCCGCAAAACTACTCGAGTGTTAACTGCGCTTGCCGTCCTTAATTTAGAAGTGATGGACTAAAAGGAAGACAGTTAGACAGCACCATCTACCGCCAGCTTTTGGGCTACTCTTTAGCAACTAAAAGTGGGATTGTTCATGATATTATAACGCATGCACGGATGAAAGAACAAGCGTAATCGGTAAGGAAATCGAACCCGCCACCCCCAGATCGTGAGTTGAGCGTTATATCCACCAGGTTATTCCAGGTCGATTCTGTCAGAGATACCGATGTAATTTTATTGATATAACGTAGGTTAATATATAGCAGAAGTTCGTGAGAAAATTTTATCATCACTAATATATAGCCCCCCCCCCTCCCAAGTGGCACAGTGGTATGTCTGTGGACTTACAACGTTAGAAGTCGGATTTCGATACCTATGGTGGGCAGACCACCGATAGCCCTTTATGTAGTTTGTGCTTAACTACATACAAACAAAAGACAAATAAACGAATCTATAAGTACTCACATCTAAACAAGTTATAGGGTTGAAGATACGTAGCTCACAAGGCTCCTCTAAACTGTTCACAGAACACTCCATATGTATTTATGTATATATATATGTGTGTGTGTGTGTCGGTACAAATAATTTATGTGCAAAATGTGTAAAAAAAAAAGATATATAAGATATTTATGTGGCTTAAGAGTTTCATTTACAATCACAAATAAAGCCAAGAAATACCTTTATTATAAATTCAATTATCATAAAATTATTGTTGTAACGAACACGAAATAGGCTTAACTAAAGTTATCTTTGTATTGTACTTCCAAATTTAGAGTAAAATTTTTTTGATTCGTTCATTCGAAAACTTTAGCGATTATGTTTAAAAATCTATTAGAATTGCAGATTTTACTGAACACAGCAACAGTTTTTATTACTGTTCAACTCCACCAACCTGAAAGAGTTGTATGTATTTCAATCACTGTATTAAAATTGAGGTTTTAATTGAAACCTGAGTTTTTACTCAGAAGATATACTCGAAGAAATGTTTTGTTCATTGCTTTTTTTAATGCAAGTATGATAACAAAATAGCTGATGGTCCAAGTGAAGAGAATAACCAATCTTCGTGACACCATGGGTGATTTTATAGATAAAGTAAGTCATAAAAGAAAAACATATTTTTTGTCGTCGCTTATCTAAACAGATGACTTTTCATTCATTACACCCAACGTCTACCGTCACGAATAGGCTAAAACATAGTTATGATCTACATAAATTATGGCTTTTACACCTTTCTAGAAACCCCGTAAAGACATAAAAGCTCAATTATAATATGTCTTATCCAACTGTGCCTTGTTATTGAAGCTTTGTTGCGTTTAAACCGAGTATTGTTATTTTTTATTTCACACTATCTTATAAGTTTGGAATGGAAAGAGCTTTCCTTCTACATTATCTCAAATACTCGCAAACTTCAGCGAGGAGTCGATGGCGTATTGAATTATTCGTAAACTGACAAAGATCGCTAACTCATGTACCACCGAGAGGTGTCAAATAGGTTTCGATGGCGTATTGAATTATTCGTAAACTGACAAAGATCGCTAACTCATGTACCACCGAGAGGTGTCAAATAGGTTTCGTAAAACTGCAAAGTTCTTATCAATTTGATTTATGTAGATCGATTGAATGAGTTTTGAGGACGTGCGAAACTCGTAGACCTTTCGAGTTAATGACCTTTCTGTTAATGTTTTCATTGCGATTTGGAAGGAACAGAATGTATAGAAACGATGTGAACATACCACAAATTCTGCATGAAGAAATGGAAAAATTATTTAGTTGTCAGACAGAATTACGGACGTAGCGACGTGGACTGTAAAGATGTGGTGACGTACCAAAATCGTGTTAATATAACATACTCAACTTCAATTCAGAGACTGATAACACTTAACCCGCTATATATATGAATCTATATTCCGATTAAAAAATATTAGCTTCTAATGATAATTTAATATCTTACCAACTACATGTCAAAGTAATACGTATTATACAAAATAACTGGCAGATTCGTGATTTATACAAGGAATTCATTACCACTGAAGCTTCTAATTATACGAGTACTAATATGTATGTGTATATAATTTTTATACATTCATATTTATGCAATATGTTGCAAATACCATTAATGCCACTACATCAATACATTTATATATAAATACATATAAATTATATTTTTAGTTGAAAGATATTTGCTTCTAGCGTGTTAGTGGCTTGTTTTCTGTTTCAACTACCTTGTTTGTAACATTTCCGTCATACAAAAGGGATGTTATACCCGGATGTCGTCATCATTAATGTATTATTTTATCGATACTGACGCTGTGGTGTCTGCTTGTCTGCATCAATAATATATCTTTGACTCCAGTCAAATCTATAAACATATCTTTTACGCAATAATAGTATCGTGGTTTAGCTTGAGAAAAGAAAACGCATAATTTGTCCTTGTTGTCAAGATAACATACAGAGTCATTATATTATAAGCGTTATTGCCATATTTCAAAATAACCAACAATTAGTTATTGGATTAAGTTCCTTGTTCTTTAATATTTCAATCTAAAAACAAAAATAAAAACACACATCTGCACATGCTACCTTCATAAGATGTGTGGCTTTACGTCTATATACAAATCGAGTGAGGTGTGGCTTATTGGTTATCGTGCCGGTCTGCGGATTGAACGGTCCAAGGCTAGAAACGTGATATCTTTAAACACGCTTTGCATTAGAATTAAGGGCACTAATTCCACTCTGAGGTTCAAAGAGCTGGACAAAGTCCGTGTAGTGGCAGGTACTTCTGGCTGGTTGCTCTCCTTCTGATCAGGGCTCCAATTTAGGAGCGTAACCAGGATTATGGTTTATGAGATGCCATAACGTAACAACTTCTGAAAATCTTTTCCCCTTCTTTCTTT